GGATCTGCTCTGCCTCACACACACACACACACACACACACACACACACACACACACACACACACACACACAGCCTCGGAGGGGGAGAAATTCCCCCTGCAGAGATGATCATCTTGTAACAGCCTGGCCCCGACTCCGGCTGCCAGTCAGAACGCATTGCTCACTAAGCTACGGCTGACAGAAGGTCATGGTTCCCCGCTGACCGTCCTCTGGGGTCTGTCTTCATCTGTTTGACTGGCAGGAAGCTGCAGGAATTCACACAATCACTGCCAGCACAGACACGCGGCCAGGCACTGTGCATATCAGCACAGGATACTACACACTTTTCAGAAAGACAAGAAGCAGTGCAAACTTGTGTGGCTTAGTTATTGCCATCATAATCTAGTGTATGAAACTTGCTAGCATAGCGCTCCTTCGACTTGAATTCTTCTTAATGAGACACCAGAGTTGCCCTCCATCCACTTCCTTGTAATCACTGCTGGGCTTTTTTGAAACTAATTTTTGGACATACAGTCATGTCAAAAACTTAAGATATCCATGTTTAAAAAATAAAATTAGCAAGCCAAATGCCACGTACACCTGTTATGCAAGTTCTCTCCATCTTGACTGGATAGATTAACTGATAAATCAGGAACAAAACAGTTTGTGATATTTCAGCTTTCTATTAAGAGCAGAAAAGCTCTTATCATAATTTGTTGAATATGTGCTTGAAAATTATTAATACATTTAGTATTTATTCTATATCTGTGTTTCCATGGAGTTCTCAACACCAGAAATTAGAGATGGGCGACATGGACCATAAGTTTTACCTCCAAATTTTTGCAGTACGATTGCAAAACAGTTGTTACAGTTAACAATAACAACTATTCATTACTTTATTGGCCAAACTGTATGACTGTGACGGTGTGCCACATCAATCATAGCCCTTGAACACAAATACTGCTCTTGAAAAGAATTCTCATTTCTAAAATGCTTCTAAAGGTCATCGGTCACATCAAGAAATGTGATTTGTATCACAAAGCTGCATTTTCAGGTTGTAAAGGTTTCAGCAGGCTGAAGTGAACTACACATATTAAATACAGAAAGTCCTTTTGATGTGAGGGGACTGATGAAACCTCCAGCACCATATGTGGGGGAAAAAAAATCAGCCAAACAGTGTGATGAATAAACAGATTCAAAATGAAAAAAAGACATTACAGAAATCAAATTAAGTAGAACCCATAGTGAAGAGGATTAATCAATAAAAATAGCTTTTTTTCTAATATGACTGTCATAAATGTTATGCTCTTCCAGCTCTTTTGGATTCATAACATTTCTGATGTACCGCTTGTTTGCAAAGTATGGTGGCTGGGTTGCGAAGTAAAGTCAAAGCGCGCAAAAAATGTGTCTTCGTCTCGCGAGTAAAAAGGCAAATTAAACAAAAGCAGATCCAGGATGTGATCAGCTTTGTTCGGCTCTGCATCGCAGCCCCAGTGCTCCAGTCCTGTTGTTTCTCTTCCTGTCCACATCACGACAGCGGCCCGCGCGCAGCATGGCTGCCTAGCAACACTCGCGAGCGCCGCAGCATCAGCACCAGTGAATAATGGCTCCCAGCCTGAGGGCAGGCAGAGGCGAGCGGCAGCAGCTCGACGCTCTACGAACCTCAGCTAAACGCAAAAGCCCGTTTCTGTCAGCGAAACGGCGCGCGCGGCTCCCACGGCGACTCCGCACCGAGTCGCAAAGGCTGCTGGGCCACAGAAACCAGCAGGACCGTGTTTACTGTGCTGACCTGTTCGCGGCCATGGCATCACACCCAACACATTCCCCACCGTTTATGGTGCGCATCAAAACACATTTTAAAGTCAATAGAAAAGTCGCGCGACACACACCAACGCGCGCGAGAAGACGGCGTCCTCTTTTGTCATGGTTTCTATTTGAGTGCAGCCATTGGGAGAGAAAAGGAGAGCGAACAGAGGAGGAGGAGGAGGACGGCATCTCCTCAGACATGTTCTGTGGAAAGGATGGAGAGCCCGGCGGTACAACGCCCAGTCCTTTCATCTCTACTGCAAACGGAAACAGAAAAACAGCCGCTTCAACTCACCTCACCACAGCGTCCGATGTGAGGCACACCCTCGGCCTAAAGGTGGCTCTGAGAGGCGCAGAGTTAATCCGTAATAAAGCTAATATGTTAATATGAGGAAGCTCCGGGGACTCAGCTGATCCCAGGTCATTAGACCTTGCCGTGTGTGTGTGTGTGTGTGTATGTGGGTGTGTGTGTTTCCCCCCACTGCTCGGTGCGCCCGGACCGTCCCACTGCCACGCCTTTCTTGTCTTACACCCAAACGCACCGAGTCAGTCCGTCAGTCCGCTGCGGAGGGAAACTTGGCACCGAGCTTCATCATTGTGTGTTAAAGCTGTGGCCCACGCACAGTCCTGCTGGATTTATGGCGCTGCCTTCTAAAACGCGAAGCTGCTCAGAACCACATCACCGATCAGTGTAGACCGTTTCAGCGTCAAACAGGCGCCATCTTGTGGTTCAAAGACGAAATGTAAACAAAAAGGAGAATGGGTTGCAAATGTCAGACTTTTCACGAAGCCACTTTTTGCCCCTCAAATGTAAAACTCTACATTTTTTTCACTCAGTAGCTGAGTGAAAATTAAAAGCAGGGCTGTGGTATGAAAATATTACCTCAGCCATTAGCTGAGTGAAAAATCATAATTAAAGCTGGGCTGTGGTGTATGTAAAATCAACCTAAAAGCTTTATGACATGCTAGAATGTTCTCTCATTAAAGTATACTTGAAGTCTTGCCTTTATTCTTTCATGCATGTTTGAGCGATCCTAAACCAATCAGGATCATCGAAAAGCTTGTTCTCAATGCCCCGCCCATTTCTACAAAGCTCCTCCCCCGCTGAGCTCCTCTGCAATCAGAGGCCAATTTAAAGGTGTCAAAGTGCAAAGACAGAACTCTGATTTAGTCAGCAGGTTTAATAACTGAAGGTAACAGATGGTTGAGTGTGATGTAAAATACCCAACAACCCCCTCCTTCAGCAGCATGGAGGCCTTAAAACAGCATCTAATAAGATGTATTTTAAATTTCTTAAGAAACTGAAAAATTACCATGTAAAATCCTTTTTTTCAGAAATAATCATGATAAAGATCCCTGTGTAATTTCCTCTTAACATTAAGGGTGAATCAAGTATTTCTATTTCCAAATCTTCACAGGGTTTGAATATTTTGGGGCTTAGCTGTAGAATATTGTTTTCTATCCAATCAGTTCAGTTATAGTGACAACCTTAGAATAGATCATTTCTTTTGCACACTTAAACTGGCAAGATTTCTTCATATGTCAGTGCTGCAACTGTCAATTAGACATAAGCACCAATCATATAGCAATTATGAATAAATCTTCATATATTAGTCATACAAATAAAACAGATATGAGCCAAACTAACATTTTTACATAATTTGCAGGAGATAGCCCAACATTTTAGTTCTTATAACACTGCTTACTGCTGATGGAGGTAGGGATAGGAACAGCTGCACCTTGAGTGGGGTCAACCCTTAGCTTCGGAAAACAAGTGAGGGGACCTAGTCCTGCCTTCGAGGTGAAGCTCCTCCTCGGCGCTGCAGTTTCTAAGCTTCTGCCTCAGAGCAGCTCTCCCCTGTGACTCACCCACTCAGATCCTTCAGACTAGCCAGCAGCAATTAGCAAACGCCTGGTGGAACCCAGCATCAGCTGAGCTTTTAATAGTTGCTACTTCTTGGTGCAATGCTGGTACAGACATTAAATGGTTAATAGAGGAGCCATGTTTTAATAACTTCCTGAAGGTGGAGTTTCAGAAAGAGCAGGAGTTTTTAAATACCTCAATTTAGAGGTATTAAAATACAAAGTCACATTTCTTTGTCATGTTCCATATTTGGCATATTATCAACAGCTGAAGGTAAGTTAATTGATGGTGCCATTTTTTGGCACAATATGACTATAAAACATTTGTAACCCACCATTAGTCAAGGACTTTTATTTTTGCTGGCCCACTTCCTGTATTGCCCCAAACTCTGTCAGCTTATTTAAAGCCCGCCTCCAGCGCGCAGTTTAAAACATTCTCACATGTTCCACTGATTGTGGATGGCTGTTGGCGTCGTCCTTCTCAAACGCACCCAAATCTTTGATTCTATTGATTTGATAGGTGTGTTCTGCCAAGCTAGCCAGGTTGCTATGTGCCTGTATGTAAGGAGTGGCATCGACTGGTCCCACTGGAGGTGATTGGTGAGTCGCTGCACCGATGTTAGTCCTTCTGGAAGGATCTTCTCCCCACAGAGTTCAGGTTTGCACCTGCCTTGCTCACAAAGACCTTTCTCCCCCTTTGCAGATGGAAGGCCATCTCCAGGAAGAGTTCTGCTGGTTTCCCTTTTCTAGATTTGCACCTTAAGACAATTCTGCCTTATAAGTCTGCAGCATTAGATTTAATGCTTTGTTTCTGTTTATATGGACAGATTCCTGGCTTTCCAAACCCTGTCCATTCAAATTAACTTATCACATGGAGAGAGATCTTATAGATTAGAACTGGAAGCAGGAGGAGCTTGATAGAAAAGGCTTTTCTCTGCTGCCTCCACACTGAGCAGCCATGAGCTCGTCTTCAAGGAAAATGTTGCAGCTCTTTTACACACGCAATGTCCTGAGTTTTCAGGGTACGCGTTTCATTCATCCCAAACTGAAGCATGGTTAAGTGTTGGTGCCACTCATTCTAAGTTTGTCATTAAAAATAAATAAAAACAACAGCAGTGTTGAGGTCAAAGTGTAAGGAACTGAGCTGATCTAATATCAGAGGTCAGTTTTAAGTGATGACAACCAGCCTCACTGTAATATCGTCATTACACTTAGATTTTCTTTTTGTAAATATATTCTTCCACTGAAATGACCATTCAGGTGCTGAATAATGCGCCCAGTAATTTACGTTTGTTTTAGATCAATGAAGGCAATGGCTCATCCAAGAAGTAAAACATTGATGTCCAAAGAACATATTTCTTAAGCTTTACTACAACATAAATGTTCTACATCCAGTGGGCTAAAAAAGGAAACAAAACAGGTATATTTACAATGAAATTTTGATTTGAACAAAAGTATTAAATAAAGCCAAAAAAAAAAAAAAAAAAGATTTCTTCTCAAGGATTTCTTCGAATCAGCTCCTGAAAACAACAGAGATATTAGTTTTCTATCCAATCAGCTCAGTTTTGGTGACAACCTTAGAATAGGTTTATTTTCTTGAGATTTAGGAAAGCTTTGTCAAAAACGACAAAGTATTTGACACAGCAATCACAAATGTCCACATTTTAGAGGACCAACTCTGCATAGTACATCATAAAAACTATATTCTTAATGCTTTCCTCAATAAAAACAAACATTGTAAGTGAGAACTAACAATTGTCTTATTTGATGAAAGGCAATTCAATTTAAGTGTGATATCCACAGGGATACTGATAAATAAATTAGAATATTAGTTGTAATCAAACAAAGCTCATCAGAAATAATTAAAGAATGGGACGTCATTTGCGATTCCACTCTCGCAAGTTTGTGGCAGCAGTTACAGTTTACCGCCACAAGAGGGCAGCAGAGGAATGCATTTAAATTCAGTAGAGATCGCTTCACTTTTAGGAAACATGCAGATTTCCAGGGAAAAGAAAAGTGGAACAAGTTCATTAACTTTTTGACCACATATAAGGATAACGCAGTTTGCGCTTGAGCTAGAGTAAACTGCTTTTTCTAAATGTTTAAACAAATGCCTTTTTTTTTTCTAACTTTAAATAAATTCGTATTATTTTATAAGGTGTTTTGATTTTGGTGTAAAAATTAAACAACTTAATCCAAGATTTAAAAAAACTGCCTTCAAGTGTGAGCTTTTACATATTTTGCAATTTCAAAATGTTTTTAGAAACTGAAATTTGGAATATCGGTCACTATTCGTCAAACACAAATCTATGTAGAGATGAGACTTGCAGAATAACATATTAAAAATAAATAATTCTAACCTGGCAGACGTTTTAATGCTGGTTCAACCAATCTGATCAAAGTACCCATCAAGGCTGGGACATCTGTTAAATGAAGCAGACAAAAAAAAAAAGATATAGTTGACACATTTCTTTGAATATAAAACACAAAGATAAATAATCACTTTCAATTAATATTTGAAGCTGAAACAAATTTTTTCACACTTCCTCATCCGGATCAAGGCTCTTATGTCGATGCACCATTTTGTTATCTCTGGTGAAAAACACAAACTTGCAGTAAAACCTAAATATCTGGGTGCAAGATCAATTCTGTTAGCAGAACAATGGTAAAAGTGTGCGGGGAAAAAGTATCTATAAAAAAAATAATAAATCATGATTTGATTCAAACCTCTTCACCTTAAATTATCCAATCAGACAATGAGGCACTTGTGAAGATAGTATGACTGTTTTCCAAACGTCTGACAATCAAAAGCTTTGTGCTGATTGCCAGTCATAATTGTAGAGCGTTTCTGCCAGATCACTTTTGGAATCAAACATGTGATTGCCCATTGTGGGCAGAGTTCATCTGTGAAGACTGCACCGTTTGTTTTTGCGTTCACACAAAAAAAACAATTATTTCTGATTAATACTAAATTAGAAATTTATTCAATTTGTTTTCAGAAACCTTTGTTACAAACTGAAAAATTTGACAGTTTCACAAACATTCATGAATTGCTTTTGTAGTTGACAAACTCCAGTGGTGTAACTTTGTCATTGGAGGAAAATAACATTTTTCTCCTCTGTCAAACATCTGATTTTTATTCAAGACTCATCTGTCAGACAATGCAATATGCTTCCTGAATAACAAGCTTACATCTGCAGTGAGCTGTTAGACCTGCTGAACAAGAAAAATGCAACCTTTTAACGGTGAAAATTAGGTGTTGATGACTCAGCCAACCTTATATTTCTAAGTGAGAAACAGCAGACATGTACAGATGGAAGCTGAGTTTAGGATTGCTGTATTTGACGAGTTTAATGCATAAAGGTATGCAATTTATTTTAAAAAAAGAAATTAAAAATACGTGTTGTACATATTTGTTAAATCCGTCACCATGTTGTGATTTCAATCTTTTCACAGATTACCTGTCTTACATTATACCATCACAGCATAGTGGCAGTTTTGACAAAAATGGCTAAAACATCACATACTGCGGCTTTGAGAGAACAATTTTTACCAGACATATTCAAGTCTGAACTTAAGAGACTTGAACACCACTAAATCAAACTAATCTCTTTGGGTCAAGCAGTAACGTGTGCATTTGTTTACGTATTACCTTAAATGCAGTCGCCATTAGACAACAGGCAGCACATTGTATTTACAAAAGTAAATATGTGAACACAGATTCAACATGCGTTTTAATGCCTGGGTTGTTGTACACTCTGAGCCAATAAAACTATGACTACACTCATTATCTGGATATGCCATGTGCGCTATGTCCATTATATCTGGTGGACATTGACCTACAACACAAAACTAACCAACTTGTGCAACATGATGGTGCGATGAAACGGCAGCTTTTTTGAAATAAAGCTACCAAAAAATGGGATGCGATTTGGGTCAGATTTAAGACACACATGAAGATGGACTGCAACCGACTTAAATGACAAAGTGATTTGTGTTGGTTGACTTTAACAAAGAAGAAAACATGAGCTAAACTTTTCACTGCAGTGTAACGTGGCTTAAGTTTTAAACTTCTCAGTCTGAAATGTCTTTTCTTTCAGAATAAGACTGAAAAAAAATTTTTGTTTTACTTATTCAAAGATCTAAAAAAAAAAAAAAAAAAAAAAAACTAAATGTAAAAACACGTGCCGATATTGTTTTATTACTGGTCACCTAAAAGCTCAGCTTCCTGTCTGTTAAATTTTAAATAATTTAAAGTTTTATTTAAAGCTTCATATAAACAAAGAAAAGAATTAAGCACAAAAGTTTTTTTTTTTTTTTAACTTGGCCATATAAACAAAAACACACTGGCTAGCTAACACTCCTTGGAGGAGGAAAGAGGAAAAAAAGCATAGCATTTTTATAAAAGCATAGCATTTCTAACCCTAACCCTAACCCTTTACAGAAGATTTCTTAACTCATTTCAGATTTCCTACATGAGTAGATCTGGGGGAAGCAAACTCCTTCCTCTTCAGTTCTCTGATGCTGATAGGAAGAAGCATCTTTGATTCAGGGGGGGGGGGGGAAGTGTTATTTTCAGTGTCAGCTGCACCATAACACCAAGAACCAACACATCACAGCTGTTAGACTATAAATGTCTCTGTGCTAAAGACTTCTGTGGCTCACCCTAAGAGTATATGACACAAACACTGATTATGTGAAGTAGAGATTGACAGTCTACCCAGGCTTTATCCAAACAAAGCACATGTCTTAGAGGTAATTCTGACAGAACTAGACATCATGAGATCCAACATTATTCAGAAGACATGACATGTCTAATTGACCAGGTGTGATTATGTCAACATACATTACTTTATCCCAGAGGATAAATGAATTAAAGTAATATGAACTTATTTTTATTTAGAACATGCAGAAAATAATTCAGCTTTGACATTTGTGGCTATCGCTTTGAATTAGTTGTATAGGTTTAATGGGTTGAAGAGGAATCAACATTTTTCCATTTCTTTCTCTTTTTTTTCTAGTTAAATGTGAACCATTTCACAAGCAGTAGAAAATTAACTCAGTCTTACCGCAAGTAGAATCTTCTGGTTTCTCAGTTCAAAATACAATAAATAAGGAAAAATAATACTTGGAAAACTGAGTAAATACCGGAGCTTGATCAGGAGCAACTTGGATGATGAGCTGATATGCAGGCATCACACACTGTTGCAACACCAGCTTGGGCATTTCACCGTCCTCTGGCGCCGGTTCTGGAGGCAAAGTGAAGCCGTCTTCCAGGTGATCGTCTATGTTCAGCAGCTTTTACAGGGAAAACACCAAAACAAAAAGTTAGGACTTCTTTCTGCTTTAAAAGTTGGCAATGTCTCTATGACGTGTGCCTTTAAAGACAAGCATAGCATCTGATGGGTATTGGGATCTAGGTTTTGACTAGCCTATTTTTCTGATAATATGTATCGTCAGTCAGTTTGGTGTGGACAAGTCAATGACTATTAAAAATAGGACTTTAGAGAGCTTTTCAAACAAAATGCAGCTCAAGTTGATTTTACAGAACAAGCATTTTGTAAACCATCCAACAGTTGCACACAAAAATCCTAAGTACCGGTACATAAAAAACATGGATAGCTAAAATAAAATGCCACAGAAAAAAATAAAAGCTTACTATTAGTGAATTAGTTAGAGATGAATAAAGTGCAAACTTTTTTTCTGATAAACAACTTGATCTATGCTTTGGCTGTAGGTTTAGGTCCATGTGAAACAACCTTTTTGGTTTTCTTTAGAGTTTTCTTCTTTGACTGAACAGACAAAATAATTTGTAACACTCTGCCAGCTAATCTGTTTTTATAAGCAGAGTGCTTCTGTTCTTTGTTTCTAATACTGTGCATATTTTATACTTTAAAAGGGTAAAACAACCAAAGTAAAATTCATTTGTGTTAACTTGTTTGTAAGAAATAGTACAAATAAAGAAAAATAATTGGTGTGTAAGCAGGTGATGAGGTAAATAATGCTAACTATTTAGTGCAGGTAGCCATTCAGTCTGCCGCACTATACAGCTCAAGTGACAAGGTTTCATTTATAGACCCAGTTAGGAACCAGCTCCACCTCCAGCACTGGTTCAGTTTTGCAACAGATTTAGAAGAAAATTGAAAAACAGACAGTGAAGCCCATTCTGATGCAGCTGCTCAAGGATGAAACCATTGATAGCAAAAGAAACTAAATAAAGGTAAAACATTAAAGGCAAAGTAAAGCCAATTAAAACTAATCATTACAGTTATATTTGTGTGTGTTTTTGCCAGATGACAGCTACATTTTGAAACAGGTGACAAGACAGGAAGTGAAACAGCTCCACTATAAAAATCTGTCTACTCATACACATCAGTACGAGTAGATGCTGTTACTAAACAGAGCGATTAATGACACCAAAGAAGAGGCAGATGTCAAAACATAAAAAAAGAAAAGGTATTATAGTTTGTAGAAAGCTATTCTCTGCAGATAAAATTAAGCCTTACATCATATCAGTCCCTCATTACATCAGTGAAGCTGAGGGTCACTTCGTGTCACCTTGGCTGGGTAATGAAGCAGCAACCTGATTAGTTTTGATTGGGGATTTGAAAACTGTGTTAGAAAGATAATGTCCACTCAGCCTGGCTTTACATCAAATGCTTTACAATGATGTCCTGAACAACCTGTAGTAATGACAGTGGCAGCTATGAAGAGCTTTGTGAAGTTACACCAGAGGGTCGCAACGCAACGATTAACAGAGGCAAGCATCACATGAAGAACTGCGTTTCAACTTCCCACACAATTATTATACAACTCTGGGAGGTTTTAGCAGATCCACCAGCGCTAGCAAAGCACAGCCACCGTTAAATGAGGTCTGCTGGATACCCTGAGATATTGATTTTGTTTTTTTGTAAATGTGGGCCTCTGACTTCTCAAAACCTCCTAAATAAATCTAAGAAATCTAAATAAATGACTTGCTAGTTCGTTCTCTCCAAAGGCACAGGTTGCAGGTGGAGTAGTTGAGTGTCTGAATACATAACTGATGTCCATTTTCTGGCGACATGAGGACTTATTCTGAGTTTAACGTGTACTTTGCAACACAGAACATTTTGTCTCAATATTATTGCAAAAAATGGTAAAAAAAAAAAAAAAAAGTTTTTTTTTTTTACCTTTTCATAGTGCAAAACATCAAAAATGCATAAGTTTGGGTTTTAACAGAAGAGAGTCAGGGTAAATATTTATTTGCAGCAGAGTGCTAAGGTGTTTTAAAGTATTTATACCATTTTTTTCTCCATCTCTAACAAGGCAATTATTGCAGTAACAAGCAGCTACAGAAGGTTTGTAGTTTGGTAGGAGTGCAAAGTAAAAACAAAACACTCACATCATCCATTCTCCACAAGTCACTGCCGAGGCCTTCAGTCTGACTGTAAGTGATTGCATTCTTCAGGAAATCAGTCCCCATGCCATCATTCTAGGAAAAAACAAAACAAAAGACAAACCATTTCAAAACCAATCACAGTACTCTCCTTGGAGACAACAGATGTGTTGTATTAAATTTATGAATCAAATGCCCACATTTTCCGTATCACGCAAAACGGCAAGCAGCAGCCGGATGTATTCGGTGGCGGCTTTGAGCGTGTCCACTTTGCTCGGCTTGCGGTCAGGCCGCATTAGGGGAACCATGCGTTTCAAACGGGAGAACATGGCATTCAAGTTCCTGATCTGCATGGAAACAAACGGGTCATGATAAAAGAAAGCAAGAATAATAGCAACGCTGAATATTTTTGCTGGGGGAGAAGCAGCAACATTATTCAGTTTCATAAATGAAAAATAAATACAGATCATGTCATTTTAAATAGGACAGAAATAACTGATCAAATTAAACTGCTTTCAGTTTGATGCAAACTTTTTTTTTAAAGCCTCAAAAAGACGTTCCAATAATATCCTTTTCAGAGGTTTACATGCATTCATTATGGACGTAAAAGAAACTTTTAAACAATGGAATGACAATACAATATTCATCCATCCATCCGTCCATTTTCCTGGAAAGGATGCTGGTGAGAATCTCCAGCTGTCAAAAGGCGAGAGGCAGGGTCACCCTGGATAGGCCGCCAGTCCATCGCAGACAATATACTTTTTATTAAAATGTGTACCATTTTACACATTAACACATTAAGAGTTAACAAGGGTACAGCTTTGGAGAAATCATTCCAAAAGATCAAAGTTGGTCAGACTCATTCGTCTCTAAACCAGCTGTGATTCATGTGCGGGAACGTAAAATTGTGCCTGAAATTTAATAATTTGTCACAATTTGAATCACTTGTGCAAAGCAAAAGTACCAACATTTTGCAGATGTTGCAGTGCTTCCAGACTCATAATCACTACTGAGAAGATGTTAGGACTTGGTATAATTGTGAGTTTATGTAAAGAGACATAATGACAGGATATTTTTTATATATAGTTCATATATCTTGTCTATGTATTGACAAGTAAAAAATTTATTTTAAAGTGTTCAAATGTTATTCTTGTGTTTTATATCCCTCTTCCTCTCCCTTCAGTCAAAGCAGTAAGTTTCACTTTTACAAGTCTTAAAGTCCACACTCCTTTCAAGATGTCAGCTCAGCGCTCCGATAGCACCCTGCAGATGATCATAAAAGATGTGTGACCTCTTTCTGTTGTGGAGGTGAAGGCTTTCACGGAATGAAAAAACACTTTTCACCAAGGATGCACACTTCCCTCAAGACACTACTTTACAGATTTAATGGAGGAGAAATATGGGGCAACTCCTGACAGGGTGAAAAACAATCTCAACAATGTTGCATAAAAAATAAAAAAAAAATCACTCGCCACAGATGCCTGGACAAGTAGTTGCGTCTGAACTGGAGAGCAACCTCATGGAGCCATGAGGAAAACAACTACCTGGACCTAAAGGTTGACCAGTCGACTCTTTTGGAGCAAGTTGACGATCCCTTTTAGAAAGCCGCTGTCTCTCTGAGGGGAGAGGCTTAAGTCACACCCTCAACTGGGACAAAAGGTCTCTAGACATCTGTGGGAAAACCTTCTTTAGATTGTCAACTGTTTCTAAACATCTGTAGCACAGGTGTTTTTTCAAGATGCAGAATGAGACCAAATTTCATCACTGTTGCCCTTAAGTCCACAAGCTAAAATTTCTTTTATCAGAAGACATCCTGAAAGTACAAGTCAAAGGTCAAGCTACTGCACTTGAAATCAGAAAGAGAAAGATGTGGACAGGTCAGCTTGTTGTTGACCTAAATGACTCCAGTTTCACAAAAGAAAAGGTCTGTGCCAGACGTATTGTTAATTTCAGACTGAGGAGCACAAGAGCAACGAAGAAGACGATGATGTGGACAGTGACATGGTGAGGAATGAAATACTCAAGTATTCTAGCGAACAATGATTGATATTGCTGCAGATGAGAGCCGGATCTGCAGCGAAAACAACACGAAGCCAGGTTCCCCACCATCACTGTAGCTGCCAAATCACCCATCCATCAATCCCTGAAACATCAACTCCATCTGAGAGCCTCTTTTCAGCTGCAGGGATCATTGCTACAAAAAAAAAAAAACTCCCAGTAAATCTGACAGCAGAGCATGTAGAAATACTGACATTCCTCCACTCCAATGATTAAGTGGGTTTGAAGTTATTGTTTTGCACTAGCTTGAGTAATTTACTTATGAAAAGCTGCGTTTACACCTACACTACTTTTGAACAATGTAGTTTTGGCATAAGCTAAAAAAAAAAAAAAGGTCTTGTCATTAAGATAAAAGGTGTATGAAGAGAAATGAATGTAACATGGTTTCATTTAATTTGTTAAACGTGTTTGATTTTATTTCTTTTGAAATACTTTTGGTTGAGATTTCATGTCACGCTGTAAATCTGTTCACATTTCAAGCAATTCTGTTACAGAGATGCTTTAAAAAATATTTCAATATTAAATTTTTTTGTTACGTTGGTGAAAACATTTTAATTCCCACCACACTCACATTGGATTAAACTAGCTTCAGCCTTTCAGCAAAACATTTTTAGATCAATCGATAATCAGTAGGCGAACCTCTGATTTATGCAAATATTACTTCCAAATAATTTCAGGAATAAATGCATTTTAGATTTAGCATTATTTAATCTCCAGTTCAGAAACTTAAGAGAGCCCTATAGGCTATGGTGAGCATCACTTGGGTCATTAAAACAATTGAAAATAAAATTATTCTCAACTCACTTTTCTACAAGTCAGAGCTACAGCTCAACACATTTGAATCTCCAAGTGCAAAGATGCTTTAATTGCCTCTGCTACACAATCTTGCAGCAGATTCCATAAAATATTACAGTAACATAAAATCAGCAGTCTTCCCCATAGTTAGGCCACGATACGTTCAAGTCTTCAGTAAAAAACAGTTCTGGTAAACTTTATATGGTCGTTGGAAGAAATATACTTGTTATAATCAAACTTGAGTTATATTTATTTTTTTAATTCAACTTAATTGGCCTGCCTGGCTTCACGCAGTGCAGGTTAGCAGTACCCACCCGGAGTCGCTCCTTGGCGTTGACCAGCTCTCTCTTCTTCACGGTTTCGTTGAAGTCCTCGGCCACGTAGTACAGCCCGTCTCTGCTCCGCTTGAACTTCTCGATGCTGCAGTACAGAGGCAGAGCGGACTCCCCGGTGAGCCGCTTCAGAATGTCACTCATCACTTCCGGTTCCGGAACCTTCATTGTAGCGCCTCCCGTTCTCTTAAGAACAAACAAATTAATTAATTAATTAATAGCTTATCCTCTTTTTCCTTTGCTTCGGTCGGCGCACGTGAGCCGACCGGGGCAGCAGAGGAGCCACACCTGGACTTCCCGTCGTGTTAATTGGGCTCGCGCCAGCTGCAGCGGGTCTTACCTGGATGACGTCCTCAGGGTGGGCGAGTTCTCACCTCTGCCGTTTTAAGATCCGCTCAACGACAACGACGACGACGTCACTGATTGTCCTAGATGAGTTTGCTACAAAACTCATCTTTTTAAAAAAATTGTTTTAATTTACTTAGCTACAATTTTATTCACATTGAATTTCCACAACATAATGACACAAGTACATTCGGAGACCAAGTTCTTTTCTGCTTGAATTATTTTTCCACAAACGTCCCCTGGAAGACAATCAATAAATAATCTTTTTGTAAACGTATTGTTCGTCTTGGTTTGATAACCTAAAAAAACAAAAAAGACAAAGTGGTGCTTCTTTAACAATGATGGTTTTCACATTTTCACAAATTGTATTAAATTGTGAAGTTGTCCTTTCACGAAAGTGTTGTGCAACATTTGTGTCTTGAAACAAGTTTGCATGATTTTCTATTCTTTTTAGTTCCATATGTAAAAATGATCAACTCCCAATAACTTTATAATGCCAAATAAATTATGCCAAACATTGCCTGAATCATGCTATGAAAGTTTATATATTTTGATATGTCATTATGTGTAATATTTACACATTAACACATTAAGCCAACGTGAGCATCTAATTTATCAACCTCTATGGAAAAAGTTAATACTGTTCTAATTTGAGTAAAAATAAGTGACGCACTCTTTGACCATTTCCTTTTTAAAGAATGCAATTATTTCTATCATACAAATTGGAACATGTTGGCAAATTAAAATGGCCAGCGAGGTGATTTCATTTCGGCATTATAATTGAAATTCCATATTTGTTCTAAAATGACTAACTTTGGTAATGAGATGTCATCTAAAGCATTTAGCAAGCAGCTGCTGTGCAGCAGTCAAAACCTGAAAGGCAGAAATGTCCCTTCATAAGACACGTGGACATGAACCTGGCGTTTAAAAATATGTTTAATTAAGGGTTCTCTTTGCAATTCTAATTCTTCAACTTGATTTCTGCAGCAATTTTGTGTTTTCTACTTTGTTAGTGTTGCTTTTCTCATTAATATATACTAGAAATCTGAATGTTGGTAAATTTTGTTGAAATTACCGGTTCAAGTTTGTGTTACTCTAAAATCAATGAAAGCTCTAAAACTATTAAACTAAAAGTAGCTGCATTTCCATTACAAATGTGTGCATAACATTGTCACATCTTGTCAGAAAAACACAATTTTGCAGTTGCCTTGTGTCCATTAAATAAGAAGTGCAAGTAAAATCACACAAATAAGTTTGTTAAAGCTGCATGTCATTGATAAACATGATGTCCAAGATCCTCTACGTCCTGTCGTTTTCTTCTTCGTGGTTTGCACCAGTGGTAACATTGGTTTGTTCATCACGTGCCTCAAGTGACGCAAAAAAAAAAAAAGTGCTTCCGCTGCAGTTTTTAGAACAAACCAATTTTGATACAGACAAAAAGACCAGGTGGTCATCCCAGTGCCAAAACCACCAGTTTTTGCTCATCACCCAAGTGTTTTACCTGCCTTCTGAGCTTCTCAATTTCGGCCATTGCATGCAGTTTATATTACAAATGTGTGCAATAAAAAAACAAACACAAAAAAACTACACAATTTTGCAAATGTGGTCAAGGGCGTAGGAACAAGTTCATCATTGAGGGGACACATGTCAGAAACCTGACAGATCCGTAATTAGCTTGAGGAGAAATGTCAATGTTGTCATCAACGCGTTACTCTAATCTGATCCCTTGTAATGCATTACTACTTACAATCCAACTCAATGCAGATATATCTATGTTTTGTGAACTTTCTTAGAAAATATGTTTTCAAAACTTGTCATTTGATGAAGGGCTCAGACTCTGAAGATTGTGAATACGTTGCTCCACAAATCAACTTGAATGTAACTTTTAACAACTTCCCGTGTAAAAAAATCTAGTTAGTTTGCAGAGAAGTTATTGTGGTTCCTAAGTTTAAATTGCTTTACTTTAGTCTTGATAAAAATTTAGCTTCTTGCATTTTTTTTATACAGTTCCTGTCTATCACCGTCGTACAGACATTTCTCAAGAAAAACATTTTCATGTTTCAATGTCTTCTGGCAGCAGTTTAACTTTTAAATAAAGCCTGATTAGCTGTACATGCATACCTAGTGTTAGGCTGCCAGCAAATTTGTTAGGTAAGAAATCAATTTGCTAGCTGAGCCTGACTGTACTTTTGCAACATGAGGCAGTTTGGGTTTAATTGCTTCTATCCTGTTTTAGTAAGATATTCTAATTTAAAGCTGCAGATTTTTTGTGTGTGCATTTCTTATATTTTTATGCAATTTTGATTATTTTAGCATTTATTTTAAGCTAAAGAAAATCTCTTGTTTTGATTTTCTGTCATAATTTCTTTTTGCCAGCGTAACCTAAGATGTGTAGGCAATTATAATTTTCAACATCATTTCCTGTTTGTGGCTGTAAACAAACCAAAATTGTTATAGATATGTATCTTTTCTTTTGGTAGTAAATGCACTGAATGGAAACTCATGAGAGGTCCATTGCTAATTTATTTTGTTAGTTAACATGTCTTGTAGTATCAATCCAATGAAACACATTTCATTGGGGTAAATTGTATCCTTTGTACAATTTAAATAATCCCTGATTAGCTATATATGCATAAAGCTGCTTAAGACATCAATTTGCTAGCTGAGTCTGAATGTACTTATCCTACATAAGACAGCCTGGTTTTAATTGCTTCTGTCCTGTTTTAGTAAGATACTCTCTTCTAATTAAAAGCTGTAGATAAATTGCATCTGTTGTGCAATTTAATGATGTTCTAATTGCTCTCTGAAGCTCCCCAAATGAAAAAGAAAACTTAATTCCAAATTCATCCCAAATTTGGAATTCTAGCTTCCAAATTCAGGAACTCCAGCGGTTCCTCAAGTTTCTCAACACTTAAGATTCAAATTGCTGTCATTTACTAGTGGTGTTTGTTTTCCCTTTGCATTCATCTGTATTCAGGTCCTGGGATACTCAGTTTTTCTCTGTTGTTCTTTATTGCTGCTTAGGTCTTGCCACATTCATCTAATTTCTTAACTTTTATTTTCTGTTTTATGTGGATTCTCACATGAACATAATAGGTATTACCTTTTTTGATTTGTAGACCATTTTGTGTTTGGGTTAAGTTGTTTCTGTTTTCTCTACCCTCATTCTCCTTGGTGAGTTTTCTCTCCCAGGCACTTTGCATTCTCTTGACTATGCACACCTGCTTTTCACATCACTAATCACACTTCCTCAGTAATTGGGCTCCGTGGTTTCCATTGTTCACTGTCGATTCCCTCCATTGTATCCTACCAGGTTCCATGTCCCGTTCTTCTTCTGACATCATTGTCAGTTTTTTTTTTTCCATTTTTCTTGAGTAAACTCTTTTATTTACATTTCCCTGCTTCCTGTCTGCCTGCTTTTGAGTCCACATACAGACCAATCAATATGACAGATGCACATATCAACTTATTGCTGTTTGTTTGCACTTCTCATGATGTACACATGAAGTCATTAGCATTATGTAGTATTGCATGTATTTAGAAGTATATATTGCACTAGAAGTGTAACAGAGGTGGACGAATCGAACCGGCAACCCATCAACTGCATAAATTCTAAGACAAACTATTATGACAATCGTGACCTTTCAAAGGTCTTTTCAACACCATCAACCCTTCTGACTAACACTAGCAGGCGAGGTGGGTGAAGTGCGTTGCCCAAGGACACGATGACAGAGGCGGGCTGACTGGTAGTTGAACCAGCGATTTACTGCTGTTGCCACCGACAAGTTGTAAATTGACCAGAACGCTCCTCGGAAAATGTGAACTTTCTGAAAGTTGCAATATAAAATGTGACAAATTTGGTGTAAAAGTTTCTTTGTAGAGCATATGTTTTAGTGAGCTTTGTAAGACAAAGATGTTCATTTATCGTCACCATGTTCCTGTGTTGCGCCAGTGTCAGGCCCAAGTCCTGTTTTGACCAACAGTGATTTTGGCAAAAAAAATAATTGTATGGGCCATTATTTTAGGAAGGGGGCGCCTGCTTTGCCAAAAGATGCTAACTCATTTTACGTTGTGCTAATGGGAAAACAGCAGGTTGGAAACTCAGAAAATATTCCCATGTAAACAAAAGTCAGCAGAAGGTAGTTGGAGTGGAACATAACCTCATGGAGTGGCTCACCATCAGGAAGGGAGTCTGAGGTTGAAGTCACCAATGTGCTTCAGCTTCTACTTTGAGGAGATGACTTGACAATCGGTGTTCAAGTACCAGGATTCCTTTATCAGCCAGGCGACAGATGGCTGCCACAAGATTGGGACTTGGCACCCTCTGGGTTGCTTACACCACTGTGGAAGACCGCACTCTAAAAAGAAAACTAGGAGATGCCGTTAAAGCCTGTGGGAATGTACGACCACGAGACATGGACTCTGATGATATCAAGAGATTGGGGGCATTCGAGACAGAGTGCTATGAGTTAGTCCTTGGGAGATGCAGAAACTGCATCAGGGTCTGGAGCCTCTGTGACCCACATCCTCCAGGTCAGGAGAGAGGGAAGCGTTCAAGGGAAAGACAAAAATAGTGTTGATAGAGATGGATGACATCAGAGACCAGACGGTTGGCAAACACTAGATTAGTCTATCAGACGCAAGTCGCCACATATCTAAATAAGACGTATAATGAAAATGCTAAATTGAGTTGGTGTAGGAATGTAGAAAATGGAGCTGAGAATGGCCACTCTTAGAGGTTGCACAATATACTCAGCCTTATCTACAACAGACTGTGCAATCTAAGTCAGAATTTCAACATCAAAGGGACTAGTGCAACTTCAAGCTAAAAAAACTACTTTCAAGCATGAATAGAACACAATCTTTGCAACACCTGACTGGGAATTACAAGGAAACAATATCCTCTATGGATTTTGTGTTGCAACTTGGTAAAAAAAAAGAAAGAAAAGAAAGTATTTCAAGAGTTTGTTTTCACGCTGTTGTTTCGACCAAGTCATATCTTAGGGGGTAGGTTGTTGATTGTAAGATTTTCCTTCTGAAGCTTTTATTTTGTGGTAAAAGCATTTATCTTACCACAAAATAAAATATAAGTGTTGTTTTCAAGCGACGTCACTTCAATCAAGAGGGGGGAAAAAAATACTTTTTCTTAAGAAGTGTTTTGCACATTAGGATGACAAGCACAGCTGACAGGCAATTTCTACTTGACCTTATCCTTTAAGAAGGAACGACAATGGCTTCTGGTCACATTATTTTTCTGCTGCATTGCACAGGTTTCAGAAATGCCACCTATAATATTGGAAAGACTGCAAGGTCCTCTGGCCATTCACTAAAAGACAAATCAAATGTGACTTTGATGCCACCAAATATAATTTGTTGGCATCCAGGGTCATATTTGTATTGATTTTTTTTT